TTGGTTTGCATTGATATAAGATTCATATAGTCGAATTTTATTTTCCGAAGGCTGTCCCATAATTTCTTTACTGGTAAACTGTCTTATGTCGTTTTATGCAAAATATGCAAACAGGGCATTCCTGGCTTAAATCCACTTTGTTCTTCCCACTTTTTAAAACTGTACTTCAGTTTTGTATCTCAACAACTCAACAAGAGTTATGGGAGACTGTGTGTCTGTGTATATGTATCTAAGTATCATAAACGTCACAACTAAATATATAATTAGGATGTTGGAAGTGTTTCTCTCACTCTCTGTCATCAGTCTTTCGAAAATCTTCCAAAGGGGCGTCTGGGATGAATCGCCTCAGAAGGAGATCAGACGACGAACAGCGAGAATAGATGTTAAGTAATAGCTTTTAGACTACTTTTCTGTACTGTTTTAGAACCTGCTAACTAACAAAACCTCTTCAGTTATGAATGTTTTAAGTGTGTTAATCTTCAAACCTTGGTATGAGGACAATGTTTACTTAGTTATTATTACTTTTTTATTAAAGTTCAGAACAGCATAATAGGATTCTTTGGAATTGTGATCAAGGTTTTCCTGCCGTGCTCTTTTACTTGTGAATTCCAGGCAGTGTACGGCACTCCTTTCATCTCATTTAATAAAATAAGTAGGGCTATTTACAAATTTAGCGTTTGATTTACATAACTTATCCTCGTCAATTTTTCCAAAATATTGCCCCTGTCGAGCGCATCCGAGGTAATCACAATAAAAATATTTTTAACACAACGTAGGTTCCTTTATTTCATTTAAACTGATTGTTACCCAGTTGGCCAAAATATTACCTCTTCAAATTTGTTGAACGAACTTGGGTTGTTATGCAACAGGGCCAATGATAAAAACATAAAAATTCTCCATTTGGATGAAAATATACACGTAATACAATCTCTACGACACTGATTTCGAAAACAACAAATCATTCCACTGTTTATGGTCTTGTTATGTTGCATGTAGCTTGTTTGGCGAGAGGCATATTTCACGGGCGGATATATCAATAAGGCGCCAAGTTACTCGGGAAATATGGCTAGAGAGCATACATGAAAGAAGGGGAAGGAACTTTAGATTCCTCCACAGGACGGTTTCTCTCTCGATGCGCCCTCTACGAGCCATTTATCACGATGTACGGGAGGCAATAAGCGAACGGATCGACACGTCATATTTTAAAATTGTCGGATGCTTTTATGGATTGGTTTCTGGCGAAATGGCGTATTTTGAGGCAATAGGGTTGGTCGTTATTTCGCGAGGTTATAGCCCATTAAGGATTTATGGTCACTTCCGTTGAAAATTGTTTTAACATACTTTTATTGTCGATTCGCGGTATACTGGAAAATGATATTAATAACATACCCGCTTGGGTATTTTTTTGAATTAATTGTCATAAGTTTTGAGGCATTACTGTTTTGGAGCTGCTATATATTGCCTCGTTACAGCTATTGCTATAAGAAGTAAGCTTTGTGAGACTTCTTTTACATTAAGTATATTAAATTTTTCCAAGTTCAAGGTTTTGATAAAAACATTACTGTCTAATAGGCATATGTAATAAAATACCGCGAATATCTGCGAAACCGTTAAAAATTTAGAAACACTTTAAATACAAAAAAATGTCCAATTTTGAATTCTGCATCTTAAAGAAAAATAATATACAAAATGTTGTATTTTAAAAAAATTGAGATATAGCAATTTAAATGTTGCGATGTGGGCTAACCTAACCATAAAAATTACCCTGTATTAGATAACGTAAATTTTTCTTCGCAGGTTTATTCTGTTATCCTTGGTATTTAGAAAGGCATAACTATAAGTATTAAAAAAATTAAACTCACTCCAGTTTTTAACCACTTTTCCGATATAGTGTTTTTAACCAAAGTTTTAGTAAGTATGAGAAATATAATGGCGACACGGTATATTGCTTCAAATAAAAATAGTCTACTAGATGCAGAATTTTATGCTGAATCCAATTATCTATAGAAAAATAGGGGTGCAAATTAAAAAAAACTTAAAATTTTATCATAACTTTTTTTGTGACACTCTGTAATCAACAAAATAATTTTACGAAACGCTCCTTTATAAACCATCCAACATCCGTATTAAACAAATTTCATATCTTCTTCTCTATTCTTTCTTTTTTCATATTCTTCCTCTATTGGACTTCCTCTCACTAATGTGCCCATTCTGTATAAAAATACCTATACCTTTTCCAATCCCATTCCGATTTTTCGATAAAATTTGTACTTGTAATTTCTATTTTTCGGTGCTTGGGTGTTTATTGACATGATAAATTCGATTTCGAGGATGTAGAATATAGAATGTATATGGGAGGTGGGTTAATTACCGCAACCCTACAGATCTATTGTGTCTCCCTTTCTTCAGTTATAATCAGTCTCAAGGCTTTGACAAAAATCAGTATCTGAGACGGTTTTACAGAGGTTAGTTCTCCATGTCCGATATAAGTGGTGTCAAAGTTTATGGCATGAATGGTTGTCGTCTCGGAGTGTTTAGCGATGATTCTTAGCTTCAATCTACTGAGGTGTTCATTGACGAGACAAAATTCCTCTTAAAAATCCGGAGACAATCCGAAGATAGTTCTTACTTAAATCAAGGAAAATATTTGATTTTCTCGGCTGTAAGTTCTGAGAAATTTCTCCTAGTGTCTTAGACCGTTAGAGGATTTCCATTTCTGGTTACGTATAGAGCCTTCCATGTTTTTGAGTTCCGTTTGAAGTTTGTTTCCACTTGGGAAGTAGAACGGTTCTGGTCTAGTTAGTGAAGTGTTCACTCCTTTTCCAGCAACATTGTTTAATTTTTTATGACCTTCCATACCTTGATGGGCCGGCACCCAGAATAGGAAGACTTTATTTTCTTTGCCTAATTTGATTTCGATGATAATATGACTCCTAGTTGTAGTAGACACCATCTGCATGTTTTTGAACTGTTTTGAAGTATAATATAATGTCGTACGTAATTGCATACTACACAACCGAGGAAAAAAATGTTCCGTAATTTTTACGTAATCAAGGTATTTTGGCAAAAATCGCTACGAGCAAGCGTTCTCAAAATATTTGGACTCGAAATAATACCTATATGTAATCGATGACAAGAGTTAAACATGTTCACTAGATCGTTATTTTTGACTGAAATAATAAATCTGAAAATGTTTTCAACCCCATAATGAAACAAAAACTGTTTTATAATAAATGTTCTAGAAATTTTATCTTTGTAGCGGTTTTAGACAAAATAGCTTTGATGAAAAATGAATGTTTTTAAATAAACTTAACTGTAACTTTATCATTATGAGCATGTACGAAAGTCAATGAATTGAAACCGCCAAATATTTTTACAAAGTCTGAGCCGATATTTATTGAATTTATGGTTCTTGTACCAAACTCTGTTGCAGCGCACAAAAAACCTTAAGGGAGTATAGGAATCATAAGATCTCCTAATAGAAGACGCCCGATGCTTAAGTTTTTATAAAAGTTCACTGTCAGTTCCGTGAATTTGATTTGAATCGGAATCGAAAAAAACATTTAAACACAATTATTTAGAATAAACAGAAATATTAAATTTATATTACCAAAACAAAAGAATTGTAGGACATTGCAGGACAGTTGCATTTGCCGACCTGGACATAGGAAATCACATGTAAATTTTAAAAACTATGAATAAGTTTTCCCCATTTTATTCTACAGAAAAATGTATTGGGAACTCTGTAATCTGTGTATTATGTAAAGAAATCCTTGAAATGAACGAAATTGTTCATTTTGAATGATTTATACGAACTCGTTCTTCATAGTTGTTGGATATAGGCCTCCCCCAATCTCTTCCACTGTTCCCTCTCTGTCGCCGTGCTCATCCCTCTTGTGCCTGCATGTTTCCGCAAATCGTCCGCCCATCTCATCTGAGGTCTTCCTCTACTTCTTCTATTCTTCCAGGGCCTCCAGTTTACGATGCATTTGCTCATCGATCATCCTTCTGTCTGACATTGTGACCGGCAAACTTCCATTTCAATTTTTATTTGTATTTATTTTAATTCAAAATTGAAATGGAATTGAAATGGACTTGCTAAATAATAAATGTAAATATGAATAATACAACTAAAGAAAAAAATAGTTTAGTGGTATTATGAAGAAAAATGTCTACATAGGGTAAAGGATTTGTTTTCTGTACATTTTCCAAATATGCCAAACTAGTTATTGAAGACTATAAATGGAAGAGAAAAATTCCAAGACGAACAGTTATTAAATAGAGTCGATATAAAAACTGAATTAATATTGAATAGGAATAAAAATGAATTAAATATTCAAGAACATATCTTTCCAACTGAGAATATTTTGACAGATCTCTGTAAAAGAAAATCATAATAGATTTGACATATTGTGACATAACTTGTGATTATTATGTTTGTTTGATCAGGACCGTATTATTTTTAATTTTCGCCTAATTTAGTGTTTTTGTATCTCTCATAACTCAAATTCGTATAAACCATTCAAAATGAACAATTTGGTTCATTTTAAGGAGTTCTTTAAAAAGTTTCAAATACATTTTTCGATAAAATAAAATGGGAAAAACTTATTCATAATATTTAAAATTTACATGGGATTTCCTATGTCCAGGTCGGCGATGCATCACACGGTATAAATTTACTCGAACTTTTGTACTTACTTTTTTATCAGCCGAATATGTTACCGAAGTTTCGCGATTACAATTCGGACAATTGTATATATTATGTTTCGTTTATAAAAAATATGACTACTTTATGAATAATGAACGTAACATTCGCTATTTTTAAAATATTCTGAAGTGCTGATATATAAAAATACCGTTTCCACCCCCATTCCAAGTTTTCGATAAAATTTATGCTTTTAATTTCTATTTCCGTGGTATAAAGGCATCATGTTTGAGTCAATCTGCAGTACAGTAATGGATACACAATATTTTAAAGAACGTATAAAATTAAATCTTACTGTTAGTGTATTGTAGCAGCTGCAATTTTAACGCTTTGATCTCCGCTGTGAGCCTTTCTATTTCAACCCTACTTTCCTCCTCCCTTTGTTGTAGCAGCTGCTGTAAGGATGCGCTGTTGTCCGAAAGAACTCCTGCGGACGATTCCTGCTGCGGTAATTTAGAAGAAAGCTCTTTGTTGGATAGAACGGCTTGAATACCTGAAACGAATATAATAATTAATAGACTTGAAAAAAGAATCAGCAACTTAATCAGCAATTCCTTTTGATGTTAAAAATGTAATTAAACATAAAAATATGAACTGAAATATATGTCTTTATAATTTACAAACTTTTTTCTAATTCTGTCCAAAAATTCCAAAATACTTGTTGTATTAAAAATTAAGTAAGTTATTTTTTGTTGTTATACATGTTCTACGATGATTTCTATGGGTATCTCGGAAACTTCTGTAGATAGAGAGTCGATTAAAAAATGGGGTAAGAATTGCAGTTTTGTGGGGTTATAAATATGCGCCTTTTAGATTTTTGAAAAAGGTCATGGCTTATTAGATATTTAAAAAAACAAATTTCGGTTATTTTAGAAATTATCCCTAATTCCATTATAATCTATTTTAGACAAAATCTTGTAGATAATCACATCCTTAATGAGATTGTGTTCTCCGTTTTTTTTTCTAAAGATTGTTATTTTTAACATATGACACAAACATATGTTTTTTTAATAGAAACGATAGTTTAAGCTTTTCAGCGATATAAGCTATAATATGTCTTTTTTTTCTCGAAAAATTACGAGTTCTTGGTACTCTTATTTTGTTATGATTGGTAACTTATAAAAAAAAACAGAATATTTTATTAAACGGTTCTTTACAATTTACATTACCCACAAACTAAAACTTAAAAAAATAATATCACTACATACACTTTAAATTATTTTAGAAGATGTTCAAAAAATTGTTTTGAGTACATAAATGAATCTATTTAAAACTGAATTACAAGCTCTTCTCACAGAACGACGCGATGGGGCGACTTTATTAAACTTCATAAGTTCTTTTTACAAACAACTACGAACAAACAACAAACCTTCTTGTTAACCATACCGCATAAAAAAATCTAAAATGGATAGGTTAGGTGATGGAGGAGACCCGTGCAATTGGTCCGCCTCTTCCTATCTTTGAGGTTAATAATTATGATATACATTATTTTTAACATTTCTTTCATTATGAGGGGGGGGAGTGTCATAATGAAAGTCACGTTGGCACCACACTATTGACGCGCCAGTCTCTAAATTTAAATTTTCTAACATGTCTTGAAAACCGTTCCCTAAAAAGCGTATGTAACGTTCACCATTCAACGTATCCTCGAAAATGTATGGCCAAGAAAAGTTGAACCAATAATCCTACACGCTTTTCTTCATTTGGAAAATTCATATTTATAATTCTAATTTATTTTAATTTACAAAGTTTGGATGTGGCAGTTCGACACTTCTTAGGGAAAGGATGATGATCGCACTTGTTACCATGGCTAAATAAGTGAACTTGTTTAAAAATGATAAGACCTGGCTCACTAACTTGTAATTTTTCGAAAAGAAAACATTAAAGCTTACAGCGCTAAAAAGTTTTAAAAATGTTTTTTTCTATAGTTTCCATTTAAAAAAAACATGTTTGTGTCACATTGACACAAGACATGATATGTCATCCAGACATGATATGTCAAAAATAACAGGCTTTAAAAAAAAAATTCACAGTCCTTTACAAAGATGTAACCGGGGGGGGGGGCATTGAAAATGATGAATAAAAACGTAAAAATATGATTAGTGTTAATATGAGTGTATTACATACATATGTTTAAATAACGAACGTAACAAAAAACAACAGATTTAAAGATTCACTGAAAAAGTAGTAATGTTAACATTAAATATAACATTATCAATAATAATTATGCGATCGCACCTATCCGTAAAACAAGCAAGCAAAAAAACCTCGAAAAAAACAAAATAACATACAAAACATCAGGTTAACATGATGACAGATCATGATCAATGACAGATAAAGAATTCTTACGGAAAGTTACACTTTACGATATAACTTTACCTGTTAAAGGCAAACCCCATTTAAACACAAAACTTTTTAATACCTACTACTGTATCTAAAAGACTTTTTTTAAATTACTAAATTCTTAGCCACGCTTCTGTTTTTCTTGGCTGTTGTGCGTCACGTCACAGATTAACAGGCCCACGTTTGCACCACAAGGCGATGCTGCAGACCACTAGGTAGACAGGTCGTAGAAATTTATGTTATACAACTTGTAGTCAATCTACACAAATATTATGAAAAACTTTTTTTCTTTTAAAATGTGTTCAGATTTTGTAAAAAGTATAAGTCAAAATCGCAAAACTTAAATTTGATTTGAGTTTCTTAGTTTTTAACTAATATAGTGGCGAATTACAAAAATTCCTTTTCAATGAAAATTAATGAGTTAAACAAAATAATTTAATAAATTACTAGCTTTTTCTCGCGTCTACGTTCGCGTTACACCTCGAATGGTTTATGCATTGATTTAAATGATTTTTTACTTCTTTATAGAGAGCTAGTGAGCTTATAGATGTTTTTTATTTTTCATCTTTTTTTTATTTATTAAGAGCACTAATACTCTCTTTATAGGTTATTTTTTATTCTTTGAAGGATAATTGAGGAAGATATATTTCGTTATGATGTCACTAAATAAACCCTTGTATAAAATTTTATACTGTCTGGTTTATAATGTTATAGTATTGCATTTTCGTACAGCAAACTTTCATTCCCTATTCTACTCCCTAAGGGTATAAAATTCATAAATTCGCTTTACCTTTGTACCAATTTTTATGTGTATAATCCAGAGGTCACCAAGTTTTATATAAATTTTTACTAACTTTACCCATTTGGTTGATGAATTTCAAAAATTTCTTCTAATTCTTTTTGTAGGATTTCATTCTTCTAGACCAAATAGTAAGGAATTTTCATACAACAAACTGTTCCGAGATAATTTTACTCTCTAAGAGGATGAATTTCCTAAAATCGCTTTGTGTAGCTAATTCACTAATGTCGTTTAAACGAACCTTTGTGCTAATATTTATGTATCTAAAGCTGGCGGCATGAACTCACTCTAAAATATCTAAAAACGTAATATATAATCTAACTGACACACCACTGACAATGACAAATAATTTATTTCTGGAGGTATTGTGTGTAGGTGTTTTTCAGGTATGTTTTAGTATTTAGTCGTTTTACACAAAGAAATAGCCATTAAGCACTATAAAAATACTTCATAACAAATCTACACATATATACCTTTCATTTAAAAAAAGAATCATCAAGATTGGTAAAGCGGTTTCGGCGGGATGGATGCAACAAAAAAACCCTTTGAGCTTTTATATATGTATGGATTAATTATTTTTCCAACATATTTTACTTTGCAAATTTTTATAAATATTCAGACTCGCCAATATCGTACTCCACCGTGTCCAGCCTGTTTAGCCAAACGTAGGCCGATTCCTCTTCGGCGGCGTCGTGACCCTGGCCGAAGGAAGAGTCTTGAAGACGCTCATCCGCGCATAGGAATAAGTTGACTGCGTAGCGTATTGCGTATTAATCGATTCTGAAACTTTCTATCTCGTGTATAACATGTTACGCAAGTTTATTATTTTAATCTCGATTTTAATAGATAAATGTGTGAAATGCCACCTGAATATCTTCCGCCATGACATGTTTTTACTTTTTTGTTATGGTAAAGTGATTTGTATAAACTTTATTCAATAACGTATATTTTCCTCCATTTGTGATTTTTTAATTTTAAGCGAAAATTAAGTATAACATTTTAGGAAAAAGAAACACTGTAATATTTAAAAGAATAAGAAGAAATTAGTCTTATTTTGAAAGGAAAATATAGAAAAAACTCTTTCTATAGAAAAAGTCTTTATACTAACCAGAATCCGGTGACATATACGCGGTCTCACCGGAAACATTACTTATTACTTCGCATAACTTGAAGAATATCTACTTTTAATAATGAACACTTCAGAAATACACCAGTAAAAACATTTATTATTTGAGATTAAAACTCGAATTAAATTATAAATATTAGTTACCTATGTTGTTATAGCTTTTATAGGCCTGTTTAACGACTTAATAAGTTACCTAGCGAAAAAATCTGTGCGCGTACCTACCACTATTGTTACAGGTTAATTCGTTAAAGAAATATGTTACACAAGTTAAAAACGCTAAAATTTTAATGGTATTACTTGTGCATTATTGGCCTTATAATGTAATTTGTTGGAATTATATCTTCTTTAAATATAATTAGACTTTTTAACGACTTTTAAGTTACCTAGGAAAAAATCTGTGCACGTACCTACCAGTATTGTTACAGGTTAATTCGTGAAACAAATGTGTTACATATTATTCGTGGTATTAGTGGTATTATATTGGAATCAGCTTGGCATTAGTGGGGCATTATATGAGAAATTTTGGTATTTAATTTGTATTTTTGGCATTACTTTGGCATTAGTATACAGACATTTGTCAGCGGTTTACTCCTTGTAGATAATCAAAAAGTTTTTTGATAAAATTTGCTTTTCATGTCAGATCATTTCTATGAAAAATTACATTAGATTTTTATTAAAGACGCTGGGTAATTAAAACATTGACTAATAAACCTTGTCCACTTTAAATACGGGGTCACGAAATATCCTCCTTGGAGTGTTTGGGTTAAGGGGTGTATAATAAATTAATCGTTGTTTTATAATAAAAACCATAAAACATTTATTTGTGAGTAAAATAATGCAATGGTTGGATATCTCTCCTTTATAATTCGGTGACTAAAAATACACTAAAATAATTAGAAAAAAAATCTTGTACTTATTTAGTAATTACGTCAATATTAATTAATTGACTTTCTAGTCTATTTTATTTTATGTACAAATATATTATTAAATTTTAAGCATTAAGTAATAAAACACTTTGTGCCCTCTTATATCGTAAAAGGTTACGAAATATACTCCTGGTTACACCCCTTACAGAAAACAGTGTAAGGGGTGTAAATAAATTGTATAATCACTGTTTTTTATAATAAAAACTATAAAATATTTCTTATTTGTGAGATTAAAAAAACAAAACAATGCATTGGTTAAAATAAGTACATTCAATACTGTTTTCAATTGTTAATTCAAT